TTCCTTGTCTATCTTCTCCCTGGGTAAGCGCCACTCCACCTCTGGCTTCCCTGACCACATCTATAATGAAGGCATCACTAGCCCTGACCTATTTCATTGAGCTCCCAGACCTATCCTATCATCTGCTACACAGCTCATCTTGGTGAACAAAGGGAACTCAAATTCCACAGTCTTAAAATAAACTCATCACGTTTTCCACCCCTTTCTCTCCATCAGAACTTCTTATGGCCCATCACCTACTGAGTACTCATCTTATGAAGCTCAGCATTGTTTCTGGCTTTTCCTCTGGACAAAGCAAGCATTCAAATGTTTGCTGAATGAATTATCGAATGAATGAGTCCCATCATGAATCATACATCATCAGGCAGATTCATAATAATCCAACCTCTTTCTTTTCATATTCAAACAACTACATAAAAGAAAACTCTGAATCCCTTTGGAGCCTTAAAGCACCAATCATTTCTCTCTCAGACTGATAGATCATTCCAGTCTATCAATGAAGAGATCAATTTTTTGCCAAGTGCATTTAATATGGAGGTCTGCTTGATATTCTTCTTTTAAAGCTTAGTATATAGTACTACAGAGTATACCTTATAAAATTTTAATGACTTAATGACTGCAGATTAGTCTATAATGTTGCTATATAATTGCTTACTTAGCCAGTCCCAGATTTTGAACATTGAATTGTTTCCAGGTTTTTCCTGCTCATTTCTTTATTCAGTAAATCACCTTATTTGTTTGTGCATTCTAAAAATATCCCTGGAAGAGGAAGAAATATTGGGTTGTTAGAAGCCAGGAGTGGGGAAGACACTTTTCACTGAATACCCTATAGTTCCCTGTGAATTCTGAAACGTAATATACTGGCTATTCAAAATATATATGCCAAAAGCCTACTGTACACCAAGCATACTAGAAACTGTCTATACAGGTGGGGCCCAAACTCCCAACCCTGATATGTACTCTCCCAAAATATGTATAATGTACTTTGGGAACCAAAAGGAGAGAGCAGGTAGAGTCTCAGAAGACATTTTCACTGACATTTTCACTGACCTTGCAGGGTGGGTAGGAGTAAGGCAGGCTGATAGGGTAGTGCTGTGGGGGAAAGGCACAGAACAGGAAAGGACACTTCCTGTTTGAGGAACAAGGCTGTATCTGGTGTGGTATGAAAGTGATGGGAAATGAGACTTTCAGGAAAGGCAGAAACCAGTGTGGAAATCACCCTGGACCGGGTTCTGGGGTCCAAATTTGATCCCAGAGGCCATGGTAACCTTTGGAGGATTTGAAACAAGCCAGAGAGATGGTAAGCGCTTTTTTCGGCAGCAACTCCTCTAATTGCAGTATGGGGACCAAAGGAAGGAAGACAGGCAGGCAGCAACCTGCTGTAGTCCAGGAGACAGTAACAAGGCCTGAACTAGAGGGATCAACTGTCCCAATTTGCCCAAGGCCATCCTGGTTTAAAGTCTAGCATCCTGGGCAACTCTTCAGTCCAGGCAAACAGGCAGTGTTGGTCGCCCTAGCCTGAACTAAGACCCTGAAGGCCACTGTTCTCCAGGGTCCTTGTCTACCCTGAGAAGTGAGCCAATCACTAATGCTTCCAGGGGATTTCGAAAGTTCCCTCTTCTCCCCTGTCCTCTGCCTCCATGGGCCCCTCCTCCAACCACCATTCCTGGGTCTGCATTTACTAGATTCTAGACCCACTGACCTCAAGACACAAAGAGATTTGTGAGGAGAACATCCCTATTTGCCACTTTCCAACTTTCTCTTCTTCTTCTCTCCACAAACCTGAGGCTTCCATCAAACTAAACTATCTCCTGCACCAAAGCAGTGTATACTAGGCTACCACAGGAAATATCACGTTCCCCACTTCTCAACCTGTGGGAGCCCACTGCAAATACCACTTCCCATAGCTGAATACCAGCACTATTGAACAGCTCCCGGGTGGCAGACACTGCACAAGGAGCTTTTCTAACATTGCTGCTAAATCTCACAGTAAATGAATATGATTAATCCCTCTCACCAGATGAGGAATCTGAGATTCAAAAAGAGAAGTGTCTCATCCAAGGTCACAAAGCTACTAGCCTTACCCTCTGTCTCCTTTGTAATTATCCAATGGCCTCAATCCTTGTGCTGATGATGTGTGCACTTCTTTCATTCCCTGCCCCTCCCAACCCAACATGCACTTGTAAACCTAGAACAATACCAGACTTATAATACGTAGGGTCCCAATACAAATCTGGTGAATGGAGGCATTAGGTATGTTCCTTTTAGAGTACCTAACCTGGTGTTTGGCATTAAAGAGGTTCTCCATTCATATTTTTCACTGAACCGAAATTGCAATATCTAACCATATAACAGGGAGAATATCAGAAGAAAACTAATTATGGCAAAACCTCAGCTATCCAAAGTTTTCTGGAAATGAGTCAGGGGCTGCTTCTTTCTCAGTGCAACCCTTGCTTCTACCATCTTTTCTGAGCTTCCAAGTCCCATTGATCTGTTTCCTTCCGTTTGTCTCTTTGTCTTTCTGTTGCTTCTTTGAAGTTTTTTAGTGGTCCAGATTGTCCCAGACTCTCATTTCTTCTGGTTTGGTGAGCTCATTGCAATCTTTCTTGGACTGCCCTTCCAGGCCTCTTTCGTCCAGTCCACTTCTCCTCACTCCAGCTTGCCGCCTTCCACAGAGCCTTCCCTCACCTCCCCAGGTGGATGGGTGCTTCTCTCTTCTGTGCACCCCACAGCACCCCATGCAGGTGTCTATTTTTACATCTACTTCCAACCCTGGACTGTGAGTTTCTTGAGGGTGGGAATCATGTCAACCTTAAACATTTGTAAATCAAAGCAACAGGGCTTTTGTGCTTCTTGGCAACCTTTCCTTTATTGTTGCTTACTCTGAGGCAGCCAAGCTTTTGCTTGTTAGTTTGTTGAACTGAGATTGGGAAATCATGAGTGCTGGCTCTTCAGGGTTTCCTCTGGCCTACTTCTCTTCTTGGTCTTTCTGTGTTCCCTCATTTTTATGTTCATTTGACTAAAGAGAGCACCACCTCAGCCAGCATGCTCTCTGTTTTGGAGAGAAAGGAACTGCAAATCAGAGTCTGGACCCAACACTGCCAGTCCATCTTGCTTGAGGTACCAGGAGACCTGGTCTTCCTCACTGGAGCCAGATATTAGGGAGACGTATGGAAAACGGTCTGACCCTGCCTGCCTCTGGAGCCCTGCATCACCTTGAGCCCTTTCTAGATCTCCTGCATTTGCCCATCTGAAAGTGGAAAGGAATGGATCTGTAAGGGGTCTTGGAGCTCTTGACATTGTGAGTTTTGTTTGTCCTGTGCTCAAGACCTTTTCACATCTGTGCCTTCCCTCAGAAAGACAGGCCTGCCTCACTTACCTTTCTCCCTCCTCCTCTGCAAATTCTGAGCAGACATGCTCCAATACATCTTATTGTCTATGTGGCTGAACAACCCCAAGAAGCAGCTTGAGAACCCCAGCTACACCAAGAGGAAGAAAAGAAAAAGGAGAAAGAGGAGGAAGAGGAGGAAGGGGTGGCATATCAGGTGGCCATCGAGGATACATGGGGCAATGACAGCACACCCTGGCATACCAAAAATTTCCCCAAGCTCAACTCTGAAGAATCATATTAGTCAATCTAATCAGGGAGGCCCAAAGCAGAGTGGGGGTGGGAAGATGACAGCGTTCTGCTAATCTCCCCAGAAAAGGGAGTAATTTTCCCTTTAGGACTCTTGATGCTATTTTTGTATTTGGTTTTCCCAGAAACCCCTCCAGTTATATCCAACAGACTTTTTTTAGCACCTTCTATACTCAAGGCCTTATGCTGGAAGTATTGGTTTTTTCCTGGACATGCCACAAATTCAAGTGTACAGACATTTTAATGTTTTTGTTTTGTTTTGTTTAATACCTTCCTCCTTCACTAGACTGTAAGCTTAAAAAAAAAAAAAAGCCAGGAATCATATCTGTATTCTTCCCCAGTGAAACCTCAGCACTTAGCAATAGTGCCTGGCAAACAGTAGTCACTCAATAGTGACAGAAAAAAGTAAATTCAGAGGTCTGGTACCTGAGGACAATCTTTAATTTTTCAAAGGCTAATGTACCAAAGCAAACCTCCACCTGAAACATAGAAGTTCAATAGACATTAATTGAACCAAGTAAATAGTAATAACAAAAAACAGTGCCTACTGTGTGCCAGGCCCTGTGGCACTTTACATTCATTTACTCATTTAATCCTCAGAACAACCCTATGAAGTAGGTACTATTATTGTCTCCATTTTACAGATGGAGAAACTGAGGCATAGAGGTTTACCAACCTGTATGTAACAGAGCTGAGATGTGAACCCCAGATATCTGGACCTAAAATCCATCCCCCTAATCACTATACTGCCTTCCAGCAATGAATGCTCAAACTGACTTCTAGAGAGATGAAGCAATTCCCAAAGGTGTCATATGTGGCGGAATTAGGACTGGAAGACAGGTCTGCTCTCTGTTCAATGGTTCTCCCACTTTGCCTTACAATATCCGACCACTGATACAGAGCCCCTGGGACTAGAAGCACAGAGAAGAATCTGAAGTCTAGATATCTGTGCAGAAAAACAGTTCTAGTGGGTTAGGTGGCTCTCAGTAGAGGAGACAAAGAGTAGACTCTAGGGCAGACACAAGTGTGGCTGCCAGGTCCCTTTTCTTAAGCAGGGAAAGGTGGTCAGGTGCTTTTCAGAGGTCCTATTTGAGACTTAAGCTACTCTCTCTTCCTGCACTAATTTATCAGGAACCATCCTCCCATACACACACACAGCTAGAACCACCCCAAGGCCACCTGTGCCTCACTGCAATTAGGTGCACATGGAGAAAGAATGTGTATTGGGATGATCAATTCGATAGTCTGATCTGCAAGCTGATATGTGTGTGTAGGAGGTTGGGGCGGGGCAGTGAACAGGGAAAACTAGAGGAAAGGTTTGGTCAAGCCTGACAAAACCCTAGCAGCTAATCAGACTTGGTTATAAAAGATTATAGCAAAGTATCTATAATCAACTCAGCTTAAGAAATTTTGACCTTCTGCTTAGGCTTCTTGCCATAACAGAACAGTACCATGACTATGACCTTCTTCTCCCGGCTGGATCTTCAAGAGGGCCTCCAAACCCTCTCTGTTTTGCAGTGGCTCCCAGTCTACGTATTTTTAGGTAAGTGAACCCTAAGGACTAGAGAGCACATAGAGAATAAACCAAGAAAGAGGCCAGGCTTCCCCAGATGAGCCTGGTTCCAAAGAGAACATCTGGTTGGTCCCCACCCTCTGGGAAGGACTGGGCTGACAAAGACCAGGAGTGAGGCGGCAGCTGTTCTGGTTTAAAGATCACCCCAGCCTTCTCAGGAGCTGTTCCTTATGAACTAACTGAAAAGAGTCATATTCAGGGATAGGGCAGAGGCAGTGGTGGCATGCAGAGTTGGTGTTACTAGTTAGGTGTGAGGTGACTTTCTAGTCTAATATTATTTTGAGAGAATTGTGGAGAATCTGAGGGCTACCTGAGTGACTTATTATGCAGAATTTTAAGAAAGGGCCAGTTGTTCAGTGGACTCATGGCATGGCAGCTATCAGTGCCAGGCAAAAGGTGACAGCTTCTAGCTTTTCCCAGGCAGAAACCAGGGATTTGTGGGTGGTCAACTAAGGGGCAAGCCTGAAAACTGAATGAGGAGAAATAATGTCATCCTGAAGGATGGGGCAGGGAGGAGGCAGCTGGTTCTACTCCAAGGGAGGCTATATGACTCTTAGAGCAGAGATTCTTAACGAGGGTCCTATAGACCAAGAAGTCAGGGTGGATGGTGGGGGAGGACTTTGAATTTGGTTTGATAAAATTGCCTCTTTTTTTCCCCACTAACCTCTAATTGAAATATAGCTCTTCTCTCAACAATGAATGTAGGCAATAAACCACAAAATGTTAGCGGCACCTGTGACTGTCAGTAATAGGCATCATAGACATTTGCATTTCATATTACAGTTATTGCAGGCATTTCATATATGTTCATTACTACTTCAAAATTCCAGTAGTTATTGGCACTGCTGTTAGAGATGGCCATTTAATGCATAAATCAAGAAGCACATGTGTCACTTTGTCACATTTTTGGTGATATTTTAATAACTGTATTTTAACATAATGGATTTACCTTGTAAGTATGCATATATCATTTTGTGTATTTAAAAATATTATTCAGAGAAGGGGTTCATAGGTTTCACCAGACTTCCAGAAGGCTCCATGCTCCCCAAAAGGTAGAATTATTAAGCCTTATTAAAATCAAATCACACTGAGCCCATCAATGGCTTGACTTCAGCTGTATCAACAGAAGGAAGCAATGTTTTTGTAAATGCATTTATTTCTAGTCTTTTTAATTTACCTTTGCATTTCCCTTAACTTCCTCAATTAGACCCCTTTGATAAGTTCAAGTCCTCAGTTAGGAAAGTGAGGGGCCCAGGAATGTCCTAAGAGGATGTCCTCTCAGGGCCATATTTCATTTGGAGAATGGCTTTCCATCTGTCTCTTGTGGGCTTGTATCACCATCTCCCTAAACTATTGCAATATCCTCTTTCCTGCGCCTCTAGCCTCTGGTCTCCACCCACTCCAATCTATTCTACTGCCTGCTCCTAGAAGAGTCTTTCAAAAGCATCTTTGATTATATCTCTCTCCTGCTCAAAAATAATCAGTGTTTCCCCTAGCCTACATGATGATCTACAAAGGTGTTAACCTGGGCAGTCAAAGTCCTCCTCCACCCTCTGGCACTAACCTCTTGCCAGCGCATCCCACTACCTTTCCCCTACATGAAGCTTGTATTCCAGGCAATCTATTCACCAAACAAACAGGAAATATACTCTCCCTCTCCTTCACCTCTACTCCAACTATTTCTTCCTCTAGAAAGATACCATGATGGCTCTTCCTGGACTATTCATGGACAACCCCTCCTTTGAGATATTACTCACATTGTATCTCTTCTGGAATGTTTTCCAGACAACCTAAGTTTACGTGACCTCTGAAAGTCTGGAGCATTTTGTAAGAATAGGCTGAGTAGTAGCTCTTATACCTATCTTTTGGCCCCTCTACCCAATAGGCTCCATGAGAACAGGAGCCATTTCTTATCAATATTATATTTCATGCAAGATCAAGCTCGACACTAAATTGATGATCCTTCCAGATTTCTTCTTCCTCAGCAGAAATTTTTAAGTCCACTCCTTCTTTTCTCTCTCTTTCATACATCCTTTTTTTGTGTGAGCCTGCTCTCTTTCTGTGATTCCTGGTACTATAGAAAATAAAACATCGTCTTGAGAATTAGACAGACCAGCTCTGCCACTTAGTTGCTATGAGAACTTATGCAATTAAGTCTCTATTATTTTCTATGTTTCCTTGAGCAAGTAATTTACCCTCCACCATAATACAAACGGCATAGTACCTACCTCTAGAAACTGTTCTAAAAATCAATGAGTTGAGAAAATTCTCAATAGGTGTTAATTTTCTTCTTTCAATTATAGCAATTGACATTACTTGAAGCCCAATCACATCATCTCATAAGACATTGCCAACCTTTCCACTTGATCTACAGAGGAGTGACAACCACTACTGACTGAGGCAGGCATCTTTTACTCTGACTTCATTGTACCTCAGGAAGAATAATAATAACTGGGTCCTAGAAAATTAAGCAGATAATGACTTTGATGCATTCCCAGCATTCTCACATTCTCCATTAAGGCATCTTTCACTACTCGCCCCTCTATCATCACTACGTGCAATCAGTAGCTTGGACTGAAAATTCTACTTCTGTGATTATCTTTCAAATCAGTTTGAGAAATAGTAGCCTATTTCAGGTTCCTGTTGTCTCTCATCTAAATCACTGAAACTCTTAGCTGATCTCCTTGCCTATAGTTTCTCCTGCTCTCACAATTATCCCAAATTCTCTTCCTGAAACACAGATATGACTATGCTACTCTTCTGCCTAATAATGTTTACTGGCTTCTCATTCCCTTCAGCATCAGGCCTAATCTCCCCAGCCTCTGTCCCAGCTTCATCTGTCACCAATCCATCTGACAATATCCTACGTTTCCTCCAAGATTCAACTTTAAAATTGTACCCTCCACAAGAGGCCTAGAGTTTCTGGAATGCAATAACTTTGTTTTCGACATGTATTAATATGAGTTAACACACATGAATTGCTTAAAAATAGCTGTTGGCACATAATAAAGACTCAACAAATGCTACCTACTCCCCCCCCCCACCCCACGGCTTGACCTCTCTGAGCCTCTGTTTCTTCATCTGTAAAATGGAGATCATAAAATTATCTACCTATCAGGGTTGTGAGAAGATTAAATGAGATAATGCATACTAAATGCTGAACAGAATACTGCATCATTTTCATAATTTTTATATTTACTGCTTTTACTCTCTGCCTCCCAGACCCCATGGCTCTTAGCACAGACAATTTGTATTTTGTAGGCTTAGTTAATGTTCGTTGAATTATTAAATTATCTGTTACTCCTACAAGTTCTATATTTATAGTTAACTTAGATCCAATAAGTGATGACAAAGCTACAGAAATTCCTCATTGACAAACCAGCCATATTCTTGGACTTCCGAAGGCATTGAGCCAACTGACTAGATTTGTCAGGCATTGCCAACACTGAGATTTAGGTCATCACTTTGTACCACCTGTGCTTTTTCTACCTCTAAGAATGATAGGTTTTCACTCAACTCTGGAAATAACTGGTTACCTATAGCCTTATCTGTAGCATACTTGCCCATAGCATGCATACCCTATAATTTCAGAAGGTCTTTCTGTTTGGATTAAGGGCATTGGTGAATTTTCTTCCTGTTAACTTTCACTTGCCACTTGGAGAATTTTGAAATTGAACTTTCTCCTTGTACTACAATTCAGTGTAATAAATATTTATCATGAGCCATTCTACGTGTTTGGTACCATGCTAAAGGCCGTTTTCAAGAAGCTTATTGTCTAGTAGGGAGAGGGCCAGACATATGAGTTACTAATTACATCAGCAAACAAAATGAAGCAGGGCCAGATGTCTTGAGAGTGTGCAGAGGAAGAAACCCTTAATTCTGATTACAGAGATATCAAGGAGGTGTCATTTGAGGTAAGCCTTGGAGGCTAAGAGAATTCTGATAGGCAGAAAGATGGGGAGGGAGTAGTCAAAATAAGGGACCCGAATTACCAAAAGCATAGACATGTGAAATTACATGGTGAGTTGAGAGAATGGGAAGTAGACCAAGGTGGTTGGGCCCATTTCTCATACTTTAGTCATTTGTGTTGCGCATTCTGGTTCCACAGCTGTGCACTACCTATGCTATTATTAGTTAACATGCTTTTTTATTTTTCAAATCAGCTCATTTCTGCAGCCTAAATGGATGTACTTTAACCGGAAATTTTATATCACTATCATGAATTTGTTTTTAGTCACTATACATTAAAATAGCTTTTCATTCATACATGACCTCAGATCATCTAGTGTCCCCACAATGATATGGGAACCACACTTTGAGAAACACTGGGATGCAGCATAAGGGGTGTAAGTGCATGTATTGAAAGATGGGACTAGGAGTATGTTTGGAGCTAGGTCAAGAGGGCCTTGAATGCCAGGCTAATGTGTTCAGACTTTATTCTATCAGCAGTCGGAAGACACCGAAGGTTTTGAAGGAGGCAAACAACATTACGTGATTGTGCTTTTAAAAAGTGTCTGTCAGTAGGATAGAAAATGGACTGGAGGAGAAAATATCAACAGATGAAAAACAGACAAAGAGCTGCAGTCCAGAGCAGAGGAGATCAAGTCCTAGACCAGAGCAGTAGCCATGGAGATAGAAGCAGGAGAAAGGATAGGAGAGATTTTTTTGAGGAAGGTGACAGAAGCAAAAAATGGCCTCAAAATATTAAACCTATAACATTTATTCTGAGGCCTAAAAGATGAATAGAAACACAGGCAAAGAGCTGAGCAAAGAGCCTTCCAGGCAAAGGGGCGGCATACACAGAAGTCCTAAAGCCAGAGAGCAGAATTCGTTGAAGAAATGGAAAGAACAGTCTGGTGGAATGCAAAGAACAAGGCAGTGACCAGGGACTGAATAATGCAGGGCTTTTTAAACCAGGGTTAGTCCACTGGACTTTACCCTCAGAGCCATGGGAAACCATGTTAATAGTT